GGTGGGGAGAGATTGGATCTTTAGCTAATATTTAGCGAATCGACTTAGACCGACAAGTAGATGAGTTTCTAAAGATTGATAGCTTTTTATTAGCATAAGCGAGTGAGTCACCGGCAACTTCACTCACACAATTGGGAAGCTACCAACGACTTCAAGTCATGAATGTAATAAGTTATCGACAACTTTGTCACATAAGTGACAAGCCACCAAGTAACTTCATTTTACTTAAGTAAGGAGTTGATAATTAGTTTTGAAGCCACCGATGACTTTATCACATAAGTGAGAAGCCATCGATGGCTTCATTTCGAACAAGCAAACAATAAACAAAATCATTTCAAAATCGTTAGCGACTTCGTCACATAAGTAGGCGATCACCAACGACTTCAATTCAAGCAAATAGAAATTAAATAACACATAAGATATCAAAACTATCAAAATGGAAAACAACATAATATCCACATATTTATCAAAAGAAAACAAAATACTAACCAACAACAAAACTCACTTCTTTTGTCATATTTTTCTCTACAACTTCCTTATTTTCTTCAAAGAGTTTCCTTTTTTCTCAATAACCATGTTTAAATACCATCACATATTTAAAATCTAATCTAACAATAGAAACCAAAAAAATCTAATCTAATAAAAAAAAATCCCAAAAAGTAGCAAAATAATCTAATGACATTAACTAGATAGAAAAAAAAACACTAATAATTATAATCTCATTTATCATCCAACTAATTGTCAAAGCCAAAAAATAACCAAAAAAAAAAAAACTCAAAATGCAAAAACAAAAAAGGTAGATCGAGTTCAAAAAACTCACATCAAATGATTGAAGCGTAAAAAAAAGCCACCTTTACTCGTGGTTGATTAGCCATTCCACATTTTACTAAACGCTAAAAGATCTAGGAAGTTCATCGTTTATTTGAACAGTGAACTTCCCATCCCATTTTACTCGTTCATTTGAATGGTGATTCAAGCAAATAGAAATTAAATAGCATATAAGATATTAGAACTATCAAAATTAAAAACAACATAATATCCACATATTTATCAAAAGAAAACAAAAATACTAACCAACAACAAAACTCACATTTTTTGTCGTCTTTTTCTCTACAACTTCCTTATTTTCTTCAAAGAGTTTCCTTTTTTTTTTTCTCAATAATCATGTTTAAATATCATCGCATATTTAAAATCTAATCTAAAAATAGAAACCAAAAAAATCTAATCTAATAAAAAAAATCCCAAAAAGTAGCAAAATAATCTAATCACATTAACTAGATAGAAAAAAAACACTAATAATTATAATCTCATTTATCATCCAACTAATTGTCAAAGCCAAAAAATAACCAGAAAAAAAAAACTCAAAATGCAAAAACAAAAAAGGTAGATCGAGTTCAAAAAACTCACATCAAATGATTAAGCGTAAAAAAAGAAGAAGCCACCTTTACTATGGCCGATTAGCCATTCCACATTCTACTAAACACTAAAAGATCTAGGAAGTTCAATGTTCATTTGAACAATGAATTTCCCATCTCGTTTTATTGTTCATTTGAATGGTGATTCAAGCAAATACAAATTAAATAGCACATAAGATATCGGAACTATCAAAATTAAAAACAACATAATATCCACATATTTATCAAAAGAAAACAAAAATACTAACCAACAACAAAACTCATTTCTTTTGTCATCTTTTTCTCTACAACTTCCTTATTTTCTTCAAAGAGTTTCCTTTTTTTCTCAATAATCATGTTTAAATACCATCACATATTCAAAAATCTAATCTAACAATAGAAACCAAAAAAATCTAATCTAATAAAAAAAATCCCAAAAAGTAGCAAAATAATCTAATCACGTTACCTAGATAGAAAAAAAGCCACTAATAATTATAATCTCATTTATCATCCAACTAATTGTCAAAGCCAAAAAATAACCAAAAAAAAAAAAAACTCAAAATGAAAAAAAGAAGAAGATTGAAGTTCAAAAAACTCATGTCAAATGATTGAAGTGTAAAAAAAAGTCACCTTTATTGTGGTTGATTAGCCATTTCATATTCTACTAAACACTAAAAGATCTAGGAAGTTCACTGTTCATGTGAACAGTGAACTTCTCATCTCATTTTACTATTCATTTGAACGGTGATTTTTTTTTTAGCCAAGGCCCTGTTTTGTTTTTTTCCCCTTCCGCTTTTTGTAGCCAAGACCCTCTTTTGGCTTTTAGTAATTTTTTTTAAAATTTTCTATAATGGTATTTTCATGATTTTCTTATAGTTTTTTTCATTCATTTTCAAATTTTACATCTCTTTTTTTTTATGTTTTCAAAATATATTTTTAAATCCTCATATTTTTTAAAATATTTTGAAATCTCATGTTTTTAATTTAATCTATTTTTACCTCACTTTTTTTCAAAATATACTTTTTGTTCATCATATTTTTTAAAATATTTTTGGCCTCTTATGTTTTTAAATTTTAGAACAAACACATGTATCGAATTAAAAAAAATGTCTTTCTTTTAAGCCAAGCCCTCTTTTGTTTTTCCTTTTTTTTTTCCTTCCACTTTCCGTAGCCAAAGCCCTCTTTTGGCTTTTAGTAAACTTTTTTTTTCTACAATGATATTTTTGTGATTTCCTTATAGTTTTTTTTTTTTTCATTCATTTTCAAATTTTACACTTCATTTTTTTTTGTCCTTTATGTTTTCAAAATATATTTTTAAATTCTCATATTTTTTAAAATATTTTAAAATCTCATGTTTTTAATTTAGTCTATTTTTAACTCACTTTTTTTCAAAATATACTTTTTGTTCCTCATATTTTTTAAAAAAATGTTTTTGGCCTCTTATGTTTTTTAATTTTAGAACAAACATATATATCAAATTATATTTTTTATTGATTAACCTCTTAAATTTTTCGTTTATTATAAAAATTCTCATCAAATTAAATTTTTTATGAACTTTTATTTGTTGATAAATAGGATTTTTTTTAGCTTTGTTGAAAATTGATTATGTATCTACATTCATAATCCCATTAGTCTCTTCGATTCAAAAACTATTTTTTTTCCTTTTTCTATTGCAATGTTTTTATTTTTTATTTTAAAAAATAGAGAAAGACTAACAAATATAGGGAAAAAAATATGAAAAAAAGACTTTTTAAAAATAAAAAAATAAATTATTCATGATCAACACTAATAAAAAATTAATTCATTCATTTTTAAAAACGAGATGAACTAATTTATTATTTAATTTGTAATTTAAGAATCTCTTTTATCATAAATTAACAAAGATTTATGAGAATCAAATTTATAATAGTTTTTATTTCAGATTATTGATTTTAATATATTCCATACAACTTAGATGTTTTTTTTTTAAAAAAAAAATTGTTTATACTATATACTACTCGGAATCTACTAAGTATGATATATATAGTTTTATTGAAAATTAATTATCTATCTACATACATAACACAAATTATTTATAATTTATTCTTTTTTATATTCTAAAATTAATATTTTTAAATAAAATAATTGAAATATAGATCGTTAGTTTTGTTATAAATTAATTGTGTATTTACAAACATAGCTCCAGTTATTTGTTATTTATTCCTTTTTATGTTCCAAAATCAATTTACATTAATTATGGAAAAGAAGATTTTTACTCATACTACATCATACAAATTATTAACATTACATATATGATTGTCCGACCGTAGCGTAGCGCGGTATCCAACTTGTGATTTCCTTGAAAATTTGAGGCTGATAGTGTTCACAAAGCCTCTGATCTGACAAAATTATGTTCCAAAAAATGCTCATGACAGCTGCCATGAGCAATTGCACTCAAAAGTGAGTCCCAGAAAAGCTTGTCACCTAAGACTTATATGAAGCATTTCAATAGAAACATAGCAACGAAAGGCTAATCTGGGAAAAAAAAGTGAAAGGAATTACCTAACACGTATTCCCTAGCCACCAAAGTAAAAAAGAAAACATAATCAATTGAAAATTATAAATTAAAACAAAACATAATCAATTGAAAACCCAAAAAAAAAAAAAAAAGGAAAAAATAAACCTAACTAGGAAAAAAAGCATTATGGACAAAATCAATCCAAATGAAACTAAAATTTTAAAACTAACTTCGGATCAAGTTAACAGTAAAATTAATTTTTTTTATAAAAAAATGAAAACAGGTCAAACCCAATTTTTTTTTTTTTTAAAAAACGCAATCTCTCTGATCAAGAATGGACTGAATGATGGCAGATAAAATCGAAGGTGAAGGACAAGTAAGTTAAACAGAGGGACTGGGCAACAAAATAGTCAATAGCGAGAGGCAATCCATAACCAAATTGCGATGAAACAATGCAAAAGCATCTTCTAATGGAAGAACCCAGATTGAAAAGGAACGAAATCAAGCAGCAATTTCCGGATCGCAGCATCAAATGCTCTCTCAAATGAAAAACAAAAAAATACCAAAAAAGGCTGACAAGGCAGGATAAAAATTGGGAAAAAAAAAAAAAAACGAGCAAGAACATAATCTCACAAAAAACAGTGGCATAAAAAAAAATTACAAACAAAATAAAAAAGCAGGAGACAGAGAACTTGGATAGAAAAAAGAGCAATAACAAGAATCTATGAACTCGTTTAATAAACCAAAAGCAACAAGCCAAGCCATCGTGTGCTATAGAAAGAACAATAACCATCCGTTTTGTTTCAATTTTTTCTGTAATTAAACCATTCAAGGTTAACCCGAGAGAATACTGTTTCAATCGTTGAAGGTGAATATACGCATGTGTTCACAGATGGTTGCGTACAGCCACCAGTCCACTTCGTCTTCCAAACAGAAGGAATTTACAGTACTCACGCTCCAGCTCAATTCTTGTAGCTGGGTTTTAATATGTGATCAGAAATTGTTTTACATCTGAAACCATCATCAAAACCGGCTCAAGCGCATGCAAAAATCCTCCTGTTGCGTCTTTTTCAGTCTATTCAGAAGTGCAATCTATTGGGAGAGCTGACTCATGCTGTAACTCCACCAGCATACCAAACAGCATCAACAACAGTCACAACTACTAAAACCCCTTCACTAATCAGCACTAATCTATCCAAGATGATATTCCAAGATTTCGCAGCCATCACACAACAGTCATGCTTGATGAATTGTACTATCATGTAATTCAATTCTATCACTTACATCTGAGAATTTAAAAAAAAAAAAAACAAAAAAAGGTGACAAGAAAAATATAAGGTACAAAATTAACAAAATGCAACGAGCTGCAAAAGTTTGGCTTATGTAGGGTTCCCTGTTCGCTACCAAAATGTAATCCTGCTGTCAACCTGTTAACACCTTAATGATACACTTCTGCTCCCCTTTTTTCACCTTTGCCCTAAACTTCAAATTTTTTTCCCTCCTTTTTTTTCATTTTTTCATTTTTCAGGCTTTCAACTACTTTCTCTTCGATATCTTCCATATACAGATACAAGAATAATTTGATGACTATGACTTGGATGGATTTTGTGCAGTGTCAAAAAACTCCTATGCCCCGTGCCGTTGTGAGTCTTGTGACACTGGTTCAATATATCACTACTCGAAGCAGCCCTGGCTGTGGCTCAGTGTAGTCAAGGCCCTCTTCTTCAAGCAGGTATCGCTGTACAGCAACTGGAAGTCTTGCAGGAGTGCGGGAACCTCTAGTGTGATGACCTGTCCCTACACATATATAAACCTGCAAACGCTGATCTGCTGCCCGGGCTGTGCTCCTCAGAACACTCAATTCGTGCTTTAGCACATGAATGGCTTCAGTTACATGCAGCCCATGAAGGTCTATCATTTGTTCATGTCCTCTCCCAGTTCCCTGCATATCTAGGCTGACTGGATTCCTGAAAAAAGTTCAGCCAGAAAGTAAGAGAGAACAAAACCAACTATTAGCTTACCAAAATAAAAATCTCCATAGGTCTAGGAATGAATGGACACAAACGAACAGAATGTCCATGGCTCTGCAGAGCAGGCATTGTTGACAATTGAGAAACAGGTCCACACAAAATTGAACATGCTGAGGCAAAATGATTTAACGAGACTAGCAGAATCTCATTTGCTTCAAGGAAAAAAAAAAAAAAAAACCAAAAACAAAATGGAAAAAAGGCAATAGTCAAAAACGAGACATCAGCATGTCACAGCTAATGCTAAAACAGATGGTTTGAAGAGGGAAAGAGGGAAGAAAGGGAAAATCTATTATCACCCATTAATCCAATCGCATCAACTTGTCATGGCTAAAATAAACTGTGAGCAAAAAAGAGTTGACAAACCTCTGGCGATAAATAGATTCTTGAGCTTTTCCATGAGCTTCCTTCATATGCATATTGTGCAGCTGTCCTTTGACACTCAATTCCTTCGCTAGAGCCTTATTCCCAATGAGGTATGCTTGACGTGCCTGTTGTGGGACATAAAAACTATTACAACTTTATGATTGATTATTTTTATTGTGCTGGGATATGACATAAAAATCAAATCATAAATAAAGATTGGAGCAGAATCACAAATTATTTGGCTCAGCAGTCAGCAAGCATCAAATTTGCTGCATAATAATCTAGTAGAATGTCCACTGCAGTGGCACACTAGTGTCATGTTTGTTAAAGCAAACCTATCAGTAACACATGCTCACCCAGCATGTTTTAGGCTGATAGCATGCCTGCTTGCACATGCAAATCGGTTTGTTCTAGATTCTGGGTGAGTACTGCTGTAGTTTGTTCTAGATTCTTTTATTTAACTTTCACCTTAGGATCAAAGCCAATAGCTTTACTGGTCAACTTGGAATTCAGTAGTCTCTAATTTCAATCCTACGTAAGAAAAGGACATGGTAGATACAAGGTTTATCTAGGTGGCTTATGAAAATTATAATTCCTAATTTCTGCACTATAAAGGGCCATTATCAGTTACTATATTTGGATACCATATACCTCCTTACCCATGCATATTTTTCGAGCCAATTTTAAGGTTTTGATCACAGAAAACCTTGAGGGTCAAAACGAGAAAAGTCTAAACAGCATAACAGCAACAAATGTGGAGGATATACCTGTTCAAAGTATGCATTCCTTAAACGTGCATGATCACGAGCTTCTTCCCGCATCTCAGAATATATGTTAGCTGCCATCTCAACAATGTTAAAGGAAATATATACATGGAAGGCGTTTGCTCGCATTGAAAAGGAGCACAAACTCAATTAATTTTGTTGACCGAGGAATATTACCAACTGCTTCTCCGGTTTCAAGCCAAACAGGAGCTGATCGACCTGATCCACGGCTTTGCAACCTATCTGCATAAATGCCTCTTCCATGACCACCGTTATAAGCACTAGCCAAAACATGGGAACTTCTGCTTGAGCCAACAGTGGAATCAGCAGAACCATTTCTGTCATGCTTCCACATACTAGAATCTTGAGATGCCAATTTCCTGACAGCTGAGGCAAAATCCACCGCACCTCTAGATGAAAAGGAAGCACCAGGTTTGAATAAAAGCATGTTATCTTTGTTAGAAGATCGATAAGGAATGCTCGCTTGCTGAAGATCATCCCCAGCATATTTTGAAGTGCCATTCTGATTATCTGGCATGGTAAGTGCTGGAAAGTCCAGTGCACTGAGATTGGGAGCTGACAGAGTCTTCGAGTTTGTATTCTGATTGAAACCACCATCAACTTGAAGCTACAAATTTTAGAAAATAACATAAATGCTCTGTATACAAAGCACAGTAGAGTGCATACCCAGAGAATAATTTAACTATGCTCAGTAGAATCATTAAAAAACGGGGTGCATATTTTAGCCACTTCAGGAAATATAAAAAAATATGTTATTCTTGAGGTCAAGCTCTGGTGCTCCCACCAAATCACATTTACACACCTATTGAAACAGATTTTACAAATTAACAAAAGAAAGGGCAGAACATCAATGGGAGGAAAACCAAAATAATATGACTAACCCCTGTTACCAGGCAGTGTCTTAAGAAATTGAGGTTACACACAAGACTATAATCGCACTGAGTCACCAAATTCTTAGAGGAGCGAGCTCTTCCCTGCCAAAATAAGGCATAAGAGGCATTGCTCGACACAGTTAGCGTCCAATCAAATAGCAGAGGCCCTGCATCTCTACAGAATTCTAGGATGTGTAGCAAAAGGACTGTCTACAATGTATTTATTCCAATACATAAAAGTCGTGAGAAATACAGATAATTTGGATTGAAAATTTCATAAAAAATTAAAGAAAATACAAAAACAAACAAAAATATCTTTCAGTTAAGAAAAGCATGTGCAGGAACATGTTTTGACGGTCCATTAAGTTAATACATCTTTTTTAAAGCATCTGCAAAATGAGATATGGCCAAATTAAATGTGATCGGAGGTAAGAAACAAAAGTGTTCACCTCTAACTGAGTAAGCATCTCAATAGTGAGATTTAAGTCACAACTGTTTGCAAAATAAACTTCTGCAAGGCTTTCAGCAGCAAACCCAGGGAATTGTGAAGCCAAAAACTCCAAAGGGTTTATTTCATTATCATCCACTATTGCATGCTCGCCCAATATTTCACTCCTGAACCCATGTCTAGAATTTCCATTGTATGGATGTACCTCCCTACCGTTGCCAAGAAGTTGATCACTGTTAGCAATTTGCTTGTCCCAAGGCTTAGTTGGCAAGTTCAAAAAACTGGCTGAAGTAGGATCTTCCCCATAAGAAGCAGCAGCATATCCCATCTTTTCACCGAAGCCAGTACCGTTGATATGATGTGGGGACGGTTCCTGCTGCTCAGTCAATACATATCCACTTCTGGAGGAGGCATGAAACCTAGGCACTTCACTACTGTCATGCAAAGACAAGCCTGCTAAAGAGAGCCCTCCTAGTCCCTGAGACTCATCTTCACTCATAACCTTAAAATCAGGGGTGATATCATCTGGCAACTGGTGGCGCCAGAATTGATGAGCCTCATCATCAGAAGCATTAGAAACAGATGATTCTGATCGATTAAGCACTGCTTTTCCTACGGTTCCAGAAGTAGCAAATTTCGTTGCAGCATCTGCCGTGTTTGAGGTACTTCCAGATGGTGAAGAGGATGATCTGAGGGAAAAGGGAACAAACTCTGCTGCATTTGGGTTCAAAGTTGTTGCCTTGGTTGGAAGACTAAGCTTTGTATCGTTGGTTAAAGACCCTTTCTTGGATAAGCTCATTTCTTTAATAAAATGGAAAGAAAAAGAAACTCTACATGCATAAAAAGAGACTCACACAAAGAATAATCCTGAGTTGCAGTAGGCTTTATCCAAAACCTGTAAAACATTTTCATTTAATCATACTCATCAGTAAAACATACAAATAGAACTACATATCCCATGACACACCAACATGCATACAATCCAGTAGTGGCCACAAATGACCTCAACAACCCTTATCTGAACAGGCGCAACTGGCATATCTCAACTGAAAACATCCTAAAAGAAACAACTTTAGCATACCCATTTTCAAAATCAGCTTTTAAGACCCACTAAATACAGCATACATAGAACTGCAACTCCACTTTCATATCAAATCATTTTCTCCCCAGAACCTAATTGAACAAAACCACGTGAAGCTTAAATTGAATGCTATGAACTATCACCATCAGCACAAAATGTACAACATGTGAATAAAAAATAAATCTTTTAAGTAAAACATCGAATCAATTACATTAAAGAGTACCCAATTGCACAATACAACACTTGAAACCCCATAATTGACTAATTAGTAAGTTATAGCTAAAAAAAAAAAAAACCCACATAGAATATCCAAACGCAGAGCTCATTAAATCAAACTCAATAAATTAAAAAAAAAAAATCACAAACTGAAGTAAAACAACCGTTACAAATGATTTTTTTTTTTTAAAAAAAACACTAATCAATTACCAAAATCTTACATTATCCACAGAGTCGATCCTTAAGGATCTTAAAAAACTTCAAAAACACAAAATTGAACTAAATAAAAAACAACCTTGAAAAAAAAATCAAAATTCACAATAAATAATGAAAGATCTATCAAAGTCAACGACGGAACAGAGACAGAAACAGAGCAATTTATACCTTTGCGAACCAAATCAAATGGATCCATAGCAAAACAGAAGATAAGATCCGATGATAATAAGAGAATTAATTACAACTAGTTAAGAAATTTGATTCGTCTTGAGTTTCGAGCTTCGAAGTTTTTCTTTTTGTTTTGTTTTGTTTTTTTTTTTATTCTTTTTCTCTCCTGCTGTATCCGTCTCTACGTATATATGCAAAGAATTATCTTTCAGCTCCTCTTTCTTTCTCTCAATTATTATTTTTATTCTCTCTCTAAGTTTTTTTTTTTATTATTATTATCATCATGGGCTGGGTTGGGATGGGATGCTTTTGGGTATATGCTGTAGTAACTAGTAAGCAGCGAAGAAAGCAAGCACCACAACCACAAAAATAATTATAAAAAATCCATCGCCACTCGATTTGACCTTTCTATCCATCTCTCTCTCTCTCTCTCTCTCTCTCTCTCTCTGTATTGAGGATTGACCCTTTGATCAGTGTTGATTGTTTATTATTTTTATTAATTTAATCATTAGTTGGGATTAAGATAAGCTGTTCGCTAACCCTTTTTTGTCAAGCTACCCCTCCTACTACTTATTTTCTCCCCCTTAATCATTAATTGGTGTTTAACTCTTGATCAGAGTTTCAAAAATTTAGACAACATCGAAAAAACAATAATACACCATAGTTCCAAAATTCTTTTGTTCTCGTATACATGTGAAAAACATGGATACGTAAGTGTTTAGCATGCCTATGTTTTTCGGAGTCCAATTAATTAGATATATGCGTTATGTTGTGAACAAATAATTATTATATACGTAGAGTTAACGATTCATATAATATAATATGAGTAGAAAGTTTTATTTATATATATATAATTTAGAGTATATATAATAAATAGAAAAATATATTAAAAAAAATCCACATAAACTGTAGAAATATACTCGAAGTCAATAAAGTAAAATAAAAACTACAAGAAAATTGATTCGATAAATTCTAAATAAATATATATAAAAAAACATATAAAACTTGTGAATTTTTTTGATTTATTATTATTATTATTTTAAATTGAGTCAAACTATCTAAAACATACTTTTAGTGCTCTCTCTCTCTCTCTCTCTCTATATATATATATATATTAAAAAATAAAAAACTCTTTTAAAAATATAAAAATAATTTATTGCATAAATTATAATAATATAATTTAAAAAATAAAACATTGACGTTCTAAAATTTTATTCTAAAATTCATATATTAAAAAACCAAACTTATTAACAAATAAAATTATATCAAAAAATTAAAAAATTAATTTAATGAGAATTTTAATAAGAAACAAATAATTAAAAAAATAAATTAAAATTATTACATGGATGTTGAAAGGACCAATAATATATATGTTTTCTTTCCCAGTGAAAAGACTAATTATATATGATCGCTTAACTTGTAAAGCATTTGTTGGAGGTTCTGTTATGCTATGGCAATATGTAAATTCTTTTAAGGATTTCCTTTTGCCTCTTTGTGATGCAATCCTAAAACACATCAAGATTTAAAATAATTCGTCATTTTTTTTTGTTCTATAATGACATTGGTGTCACTTTTAAAAATATCAAATAAATTATAAGAAGAAAAAAATGATAAGGTTCTTCCTAGTTAGCTTATGTGGCCGATAGAGGCTAGCGTGCTTAGGCCTCGCGAGCCAAGCTAGGGTTGCTTGGGCCCAAGCTCAGGCTGTTTGGGCTCGCTTCTCTAGGCCTCGACTCGATGTTCAACCAAAAAAAAAATTTTTGCAACTTCCGACGAACTCTAATTTGTCAAAATCTTCATAAAAAATTCACGGGTCCAGTTTCAAACCCTAATAAACTCAATTCTAGCATTATTTTTTCCCAAATATCTTTAAATGACCGAAATAAAGTCGAAAAATACTTTTAAAATCTTAAAAATCATTTTAATGCATATTAAAATAAAAAGAAAATACATAATCAAATTATATATTTTTTTCTTTTTTGGCTCGATCTACCTTCTTCAATTATTTAATTGTCCGAAATCACCATAGAAAAACTCATCTTTCAAAAATATCAAGGACCAAAATAATCTATACTAAATGAACAAGTAGACACTCTTCAAATACTCCAGTTCTTTTAATTTTCTTTATAATAAAACCCGTGAATTTTTTTTAACTAATAATTATTATTTTTTAAAAAAAATTGAGTCAAATTAATTTTTTAACTGATTATTATTTTTTAAAAAATAATTAAAATTATTTAAAACACACTTTTAGCTCTCTCCCTCATCGAATTTATATATGCAATTACGCTACTCTCATTTAAAAATTATATAAATAATCAATTGTATAAATTATAATAATATATTTAAAAAAATAAAAATCAAGTTCTAAATTTTATTTCAAAATCCATATATAAAAAATAAATTTATTAAAAAATAAAATTATATAAAATTAAAAAATTAATTCGATGAGAAATTTAATGAGAAACAAACAATTGAAAAAATAAATTTTAAACAATTAAAATAATATAATCAAGTATATATGTTTAAGCTAAATTTTTTTAAAATATTATATATATTCTATTACCGTAAAATTGTACGTAAAAATAATGATCGTTTTTATATTTTCACACTTAATTTCATGATAAAAAATAAAAAATAAATTATTAGAAGGAAAAAAAGAAGGCAAATGTCGGTGGAGACTGCTTATGCGAGCCTAATTGACCCGGCTTCTTAAGGCCAGCCATATAAAAAAAAAAAAATGCTTCTCCGAGCCAGCCCTTAAAAAAAAAAAAAAAAAAAAACTACAATGTAATGAGCTAGGCTAGTTGCTAGAGCTCGCTTCTCCGAGCCAACACTAAATAAATAAATAAAATGCTACGATAAATAAACGAAGAAACTCTAGGTCTTTTATTTTTTATTTTTAGAATAATTATAATATCTACTTCTAGCTCTCTCTTTCTCATCAGAATTTATATATGCAACAACGTCATTTTCATTAAAAAATCATAAAAACAATCAATCATACAAATTATAATAATATATTTTTTAAAAATAAAACAATTAGTTCTAAAAATGTTATTTCGAAAGCCATATATAAAAAAATCAAATTTATTAACAAATAAAATCATATAAAATTTAAAAATTAATTCTATGAGAATTTTAATAAGAAACAAACAATTGAAGAAATAAATTTTAAATAATAAAAATGGTATAATCGGATGTATATGTTTAAACTAAAATTTTTAAAAAATATCATATATATTCTATTACTCGTCAAAATATACGTAAAATTAAAAAAAAAGATCTTTTTTATATATTTTTCACACCTAATTTCATGGTAAAAAAATAAAAAAAAATTATTTATATAGAAGGGAAACAATTGTCATCCGATATTTAAATAAATCATTTATTAATAAATATTATATTATCATACCAATATATTTAAAATAATATCAATTTAATTATATGGTATAATTATCAAATATATTATATTACTAAAATACTTATCAATTTTTATATATATTCAAATTTGTAAAATAATATATTAATATATTATTTATATCATAATTTAAAATAATAAAAAAATATTGTATTGTATAATAAATACAATATTCACAATCAAAATACAAATACCTATTTTATAATAATTATTTGATTTTGTTTTTTTGTAAAATATAATGATAATATATTATAATTATTAACTGCAAATAATTTTATTATTTTTTAAAAAATATTTCTAACAAATAAGGACCTAAATAATATATTTGAACGTATAATAATAATCATACAAATATAGAAACTAAAAAAAGAAAAAGGAAAAAAAAGGAGGCCATACGTTAAAAAAATTAATAAATAAGCACTCGCATAAAATACAATATTCACAATCAAAATACAAATAACTATTTTATAATAATTATTTGATATTTGTTTGTAAAATATAATGGTAATGTATGATAATTATTAACTATAAATAATTTTATTCTTTAAACAAAATATATTTCTATTTTATAATAATAATTTGATATTTTTTGTAAAATATAATGATAATGTATTATAATTATTAACTATAAATAATTTTATTATTTAGAAAAATGTATTTCTAATAAATAAGGACCTAAATAATATATTTGATCATA